TCTAAGGACAATATATAGGATTTAAGATTTTGCTGTAGGAATAATCTATTAAATTCAGCAGTCTGCGTGTGTTAGCAGCTGACTGCCTCCCTTTAATGAAACCAGTTTGATCTGGGTGGATTATGAGAGGAGTGACTTTATCTAACCGTTTTGCTAAAGCTTTACAGACTATTTTAATATCCACATTAATTAAGGATATGGGACGATAGCTGGTCGGAAACATAGGATCTTTGCCTGGCTTAAGCAGGAGACTAATGGTGGCAGAATTCATATTAACTGGAAATTTGCCATTATCTAGAGTTTCCTGCAGCATTCTGTGGAACGTTGGGGCCAGAATGTCCCAGAACTCTTTATAGAACTCAGTAGGGAACCCGTCTGGACCTGGAGCTTTATTATTTGGCATGTTTTTTAATGCTTCCTGAACTTCAGCTGTAGACAGCGGTGAGTCCAGGGTCGCTCTTTGACTCTCTGATAATTTAGGAAGAGTTATTTTATCCAGAAATCGCTTGATATCATTATCTGATGGATTTAACTGTGATGTGTATAAAGATTTATAGAAATCTCGGAAGGCATTGTTAATGTATTACAAATTGAATCTGTAACTGCAAATATAGTCGTTTTTTCTTTGTTTATTTTTAGCTGGTTAGCTAAGAAGCTTCCTGACTTATTGCTATGTTCAAAGTTGTCAATTTGAAGTCTTTGAATTAAAAATTTATTTTGTTTTTCAATAAATTCGTTTAGTTCTAGTTTTATTTTACGGATTTCCCCTGATTCTGATTCTGATTCAGGGACGGCTTTGAAAGCCTTGAACACCAAGAACTGGTGTAACGTCAACAATTCCATATAACAAATTCTGTTTCTCTCATGTCAGTTTTCTCAGATTATTATTGTCTTCCTTCAGCTATTTTTCCTGCCCTTTCTCTGACTGCTACATAAGCAAATGTCTGAAAAAGAGCCGACTAAGACAGTCAGTGGGATACAATGACATTTATGGCAGACGTGAAGTAGAAACTTAGATTTTATGATCACTAACATAATGAAATAACATGCATTTTCGAAGCACTGAGGAAAAAAAACAGCTCAAAGCTGCTGTCAACTACCTCCAATAAAAGTGTGGATTTCAATTTCTCTAATTTTTTTTGGTTTGACATGGACACACAGTAACAGCAAATGCAAAATATATATGATTGGATTTCAAAGAACAATTATGAAGAAGAGATTTGAGGACAAGAGTTCATTTTTTTTCTTAATATGTCTCATTTTGTAAAACAAAAAATGTGTTGGTTGAGTTACACTACTCTACCTGAAGAATATATCAGAAAGGTCTGAGATGGATCGGATCAATAAATATATATAAACTGAAGGTTAACTGCATGAAATAAACAGAGACATTTTCTAAAATAAGCCATGGTGGCTGAAGTGTGCAAACACCATGGAAATATATTATTACACAGGTAATTCAGAAGGTCCTACAGACATATAAATAAGACTAGCAGACACAAAAATTAGACCAACATACGATAACAAAAAAGGCAAAGGACAAAATGCTTCAACAAGCAAAAATAATTTAACGTAAAAAAGCTGCAAACTAGCATTGCATAATAGATATGCTCCAGATCAAATTCATCCATCCATCCATCCATCCATCCATCCATCCATCCATCCATCCATCCATCCATCCATCCATCCATCCATCCATCCATCCATCCATCCATCCATCCAGAAGGCAGGCGCCTACTTCCTGTAACCACTGAATAAGAGTCTGGGTATGGCTGCCAGCTTAGTATTGCAGCAAACAAACCAACATTCATGCCTGAATGAAAAAATTTAAAAAGACTAATTGATATAAGAGTCGTGATTTCTTGACAGTTGAGGCAAGCATGCTGAAAGAAAAATCCGTTATGCACACAGTGAACATGCAAACTCTATCCAAGAAGATCCAAGGCAACGATTTGAATTGAAGACATTCTGCTGTGATGTTCAGCCAAATAATAAAGTATGTATATTTTAAAGAGAAATAATAAAAAGTTCTGCTGTTTTTTTCATAACCTGAATTTTTTAAAACAAAAAGCTCCCACTTACAGGGCCATGTACAGTAGAGATTCACTGTACCTGCTCATTAAAAGACTTAAAAGACGTACTGTAGCCTATTGAACCCTTGGCGTAGGTTACACTCCTATGACGACACACACAAGCACCAAATTTACCCCCCCCAAAAAAAGCATTGCTCACACATCAACACTTTTTCTTTCCATTTGACAGGCTGCTCCACCCGCTAGTTTAAAATGCAATGTGTTCCTCCTAATATGCCCGAAGAGCACGGAGCACTAATCTAATTAGAGTGTCAGTCAGCAGAGTGTTCAGCCAAAGAGAAATTAAGAAAGCACAAAATCTACAAACAGAAAAAGAAAAAAAAAAATCTTTTTAGGAGGGATGTTACATATCTAAACACCCCACCAGATTCTCCCCTCACCACCCGCCCCTTCTTTCTGTGATATTTTTTAAATGGGTTCACACTTTCCCCTGCTGAGATTCATTACCTGGCCTAATTATAAAGGCAAATGAAATCAGCTCAATACATTATTAATGGAGAAGCACTACTGGGATTCATTTGCAGCATTTGCAACAATATGGTATATTCTAACTGTTTTCATGCCTGATTTAGCACACACACTGATAAGAATAACGTATGTGAATGAGGTGGAAGTGAAGAGAGTGAGGGTGACTACAAAGCTGAACTGGACAGAAAGAGTTTTGAGCAGAAGAGGGAAAAAAAGATGGAGTGAAGAAAGTCTGGAAGGAGGAGGACGGGGTAGGGATTAAAGAGAGAGCTGGTTTTTCCACTTGAGGGGCTCTTGATGCTATATTGGATGCAGCTACTTATGAACAGGTGTGCTATGTGTGGAGGACTGTGACCCAGGCACCACTTCCTGCATGGCTACACATTCGATTGAGGTGCATTGGAGCCGGACAGAGAGAAAGAGAGGGAGAGAGAGGCAGGCATCAACCCCCTGGGGCCTAAGATGAAGGGACAGCCATGCCACATCCTCCCTCCTTCAAACCAGTAGGGTGAAAAGGAGGAACGCAGCCTAGCCACTGCAAGACTACAGCTTCAGAGTGTAAGCAACCATGAATAAAAATGGACTTTGCAGAGAAGTAGGGCTTATAATTATTCGCTTTGAATCAGTTAGAGCCTTTTCTTAAATATACCCCGCGAGGCATCAGGTTAAAAATCCATTTGTGGGTAGTGTACCATGACAGTGAGCTAGTCTCTCTGGAGACTGATGATATGACAACAGGGAATTTGTATAGATATCTATTTTACATATTTATACAAAACATAAACAGGTATATAAAAATGAATGACATAAATATTAAACTGCTATTTGAAATTTCAGTATAACTGTACAACCAGATATGGTGTGTTTAATTTTTTCGACAAATGTTAGAACTAAATACAATATTTGAAATAAATATAAATTCCAATATTTTCTATTGCTGCAGCACTGAAAAGCCTGGATGATATCCTATTCAAGTCAAATAAAATAATTGCCTTAATATTAACTTTTTAAAGAGTTTTAAATGCAAAGTGATATCAGTTATTATCCAGAAAACAAACGTATTTCAAATACAGTATATGATAATATTCAAATTCAGTAAAGACAACAAGAAATAAATACCAACAGCAAATGTCTGGATCCGCAGTGAGTTTGAGTCTTATCTTAAGACTCAAACTCACTGCGGATCCAGACATTTTAATTGAGAAAGCTTCCTGGAGAGGTGGCGAAACGTCTTCAAATCTTGAAAACCAAGTCCAGTGGATATTTTTTGAATTTTTACGGAATGACTTTGACCTGGATTACTGAGAACCTTCATCAGCAACACAACCATGATTTCCCAGAAAAACGAGGGGTATCTCTATTCAGAGTTATGTAGAGAAAAAAGGGACATATTTTCTTATAGCATGCACACTGGGCACAGAACAGTGAAACAGTCAATCCCCATTGACTAGAGAAGCGAGTTTTTGGAGTCAAAACTGTCCAAATCATTTTTTGGTCCCCAGAACTTGAACCACAAACTGACAAAAATCACCTTGGGTAGTGAGCCTCATTGTGTAAATAAAAACACAGCTTTTGATTTCACTTTCTTTGTTCAGCAGTTCAGTTTTATCTAAAGGTTAATCTAACCAAGAATTTGGGAAGAGAGTTAAACATTAGGGTCATAGTAAGGAGGCCTTCTTATGGTAAAGACCCCGGGTTGATCACCAAAGCTCAGCTGACATAACACCAGTGGAAATATGCAGAAAACTGCTTTGTAATTGAAATAAGGGTTTAATAGCTGTACTATTAAACAATCAAAAGAGCATACTGTACATAATTTCAAAATTTCAGCTTCAAAAGTAAATGTTAGATGTAATGTGTATATTTTTTAAAGTCAACCCTCTTCCTACACCATTTTATCGTCTTTTGAAAGATACCTTTTCTTTTTCTTTCCAACAGAAACAAATTTCTTGGTTGAATGAAAATAATTTTAAATCTAGAGTATGAAGAATTTTGGGTATAAGTGTTAATATTTTCTTGGCATTTAAACATGAACAAATTGAACAGTTAAGCGCACTAGCATATACAGCACAGTAATACCATTTTCTTTTTCTAGATTAAGAGTATGCACCTTGTAGCTTTAAAGGTCACCTGCAAGAAATGCAAAGTTCAATGCATAAAAAAAAAAACCTGCAAGCTTCTTTATACAGAAAAGGGCATAAAATTACTGATCTTTAACATTTTACTGAGTATGCATAAACAAAGAGCATCCTTTAGCACTAATTATTTTTGTGATGCTGATCACATTGTCATTCAGGTCTAAAAGGTTTAAAATTGCTCGACTTAAGGGAGTTCATTGGTAACGACTTGGAGGTGAGTAATTATATTTCTTCATACAGTTTTTGAAAAGGAGAAAAAAGATCCAGGGAAAGACAAAGAAGGGTTGGCACTCTACATTACCGTCACGCCGTCTTGCCACACGTGCTCCTTCTGAAGCTGCTCAGCCTCTCGGACCAGTTTCTGCAAGACAAAAATAGGAAACCAACAAAAACTGTAAGAATCAGAAGTGTGGGATTTATGCTGTGGCTTGATTATTCAACTACTAATATTATACTAACATTTTTTAGATTTAAAGGATTCGTTCAGTCATTTACAGTATTACAGCTAGTGTTGCACCGATACCGATACCAGTATCGGACGGGGCCCCGATACTGCCCTAAAATGGTGGTATCGGTGTCGGCGAGTACCAACAAATAGGGCACCAATACCATTTTGAGAGCTATAAGTTTATTCAACTATTGTCACCCACTCCTGGTAGGCAATGAAAAGTTCTACTTGATTCACTTTGTTTTAGATTTTTTCCTGTTTCACAAAGGTAGGCAGCAGCTTGAAAAATCCATGATGGCAATTATTTTACATTATTATGGTATCGGTATCGGCTGATACTGCACAGCCAGGTATCGGGGCCAAAAAATGGCATCGGCGCAACACTTACAGCATTACAGTTCATTCTTATTCTGTAGTTAAAACTTGCAGTTTTGATTTGTGCAGTTTTATGCAATTGCTTTTTGCATATAAAACACAAACAATACAGATCTATTTGCAGCATTTTTTTGTTTTCTATTTTATATATGGTAAATTGGTTGTTAGAAGTACAAAATATAAGTACAAAAAGGACTTTAAAGGACAGTAAAATAACATTCATTTCATCTTATCTTTAAGTTTATCAAATTGTGCAAAAATATTTTGTAATTAATTCCTGGCCTATAATTATGATGTGAAACATGAGTGACCCTACTATTTGAAGAAAACAGCTGGTGTTGATCTTCATAATTCAGGAACTTGCAAAATGTAAAAGCCTTCCTACCTAAACTTACAGTAATCATCTCTACAGTAAGAGCAATAATTAGAGTGTTTAAAAGAAATGGTGATGTGACAAACAAGGTCGGATGATTCATCTCTATTCACATGAACTCAGGACAATAGTAATGGATTTGAAAACTCTCAAACTCAAAGGAAATGTAGCATGGTTGATAATTTCACGAATTTGACACCCCAAAAAAAAACCATAGTACATGCCAGTCGACTAATGGAGGCATGCCAGGAAAAATTATTTTCTGTCCTAATGTCACAAATGTAAACATGTAGAGCTAGTAGTTGGTATTTAGGCCGATCTTTGCTTTAATTTAATGAAGCTAACATTGAGCTTCTGGGTGTAAAGCAAAGCATTTGTTGGAATAATCAGAAGATAACCTCACTACCATGTCTGGTAATGTGGAAGATCTGTGATGCTGGTAAACAGTTTCTTCTGAATGTGCACTTGTAACCTTGCAAACGTGCAACTCACCACAAACTCTTAGATTTGAGGACAGTTTAAGCAGGAATCTGATGGACTTTACCAGAAGCTGAAGCTAGCATGAAAATGGGAAACTAACTGACAACAGCTTGGCTTTAGGTCTTAGTCACAAATGACAATCCAGTACCCCTGCAAAGGTATGTGGCCACAAAATGTGAGGTCAGAAGATTCCCTGATGTTGATCTACAGCAGCCTGTAGCTCCTTTCCTTTTCAACTCCCTCACTTCAATCTTGTTCCACTGTATCAAGGTTTTGCCAGGCCTCTAGGGGGCATTGGCAATATTATTTTAGTTCTAGAATGGCATGATTTTCCCCATAACCCCAAGGCTCTAAAAATACTCACTTTATATATAGAGCTCCTGTTACTGTTAGAACTCATTTATCTGAGGGGTGACAATGAAGAAGCCCGTTGCCTATCAGGGAAGACATTTTTATCTACAAAAAAAAGGCACAATGGACCTAAACTCTCACTATGATAAAAGCTATCCTCTTTATATAAGACGCCCTGCCCATTTTTTCTTAGCTGTACCTTTTATTTATAGTCACGTTCCCAAGGCTGAGAATTAAAACTATTATCGCAATGCAAAGATTCATACTGTATATAAGACCTTTATATACACTACACTGTATGTATAGTATTAAATTTTAAAACATATCTGAATTAATGTATCTGCACTGCTTTTAATTTTCTCTTAGTGTATTGTATAAGGAATCACATTAAATTTTTTTTTTACTAAGAAAAATAAATAAATAAATACAAATATATAAGACATTACAAAACATAAGCTTGAGATGAAAGCCAAAGGAGGGAGACGAGTCTTAAGCAGTGATTTAAATATCTCAACTGTCTGTGCAGTAGGGTAAACCATCCTTTAAATTTAGGGCAGCCACTGCAGAAACCTAATCACCTTTATCTTGGATGTGCAACGCAGAACATCTTTGAGAAATTGGCTGGTTGACAGCAGAGCTCTTATGTTAGAGGATTGGAGAAGTTCGATGGAGCCAGTCCACTAAAAAGCTTAAATGTGTCCAATACGTTCTCAGTCCAGAAATAATTATACAAAATAATATAAAAATATGTTAAAATTTTTTTTTTAATAATGCAAGAGACACAATTTACTAGTGCAGTTTTGGGCCACTTATCTTTATACACACATGCAATTTCACGCTTATTAAAACGCATTTAATATTATCTATCTTGCTACATAACAAGCTTAAGCTCTTTTGGGAGGGGTTTTTACAAAGTTTAGGAGTTCCCATTTGGAATTCTTTGCCAAATTTCCACAAAGACATTTGGTAAAGGAAACCCCTACACCACTAAAAGAATATGGATCCATGCCTTCATGATGTTTTAACAAAACGCTGACTTCACGCTCTGTTGCCAAAACAAGTACCCCTTTCCCACTGGCTGAAAAACCTGTTAAACCTGCGCATAATCTGCTTTTAGTGGCAGTGGGAGTAGCTCACTGAGCGCGTCTACCCGGGCTAAATGACTCGGCAAGCGACCCACGTTAAAATTGCCTCGGCTCTGATCGCCATGCAGTGGGGAAAAATAGAGACACGCTAATTTATGTGAAACCATTGAGTGCAACATATGGATGCCAACACACCTCGCCAGCCACATCTGATCTAACAAGAGGAAACAACTCTTCTTATATTCGATAAACATTGCTTAGCACTGGTGAGAGAGATTCGGACAGATAAATGAGCACAACAATAAAGCACACTTTCAACGCCCAGAATTCCTTCCATGTTGTTCTACATTGTCTACTTTCCTGATTTCTGTCACACTGTGCCATCATCAATGCTAACCCAGCATGATGGTGTTACCAGACATGCAGCTGCAGGGGGACAGAGGCCCTGCAAATTGCAAGTTTGGGGCTAGACCCAGCTCTTTTTGCCAGTGGGAAGGGAGCCAAATGATGATTGTTAGCGGGTTGACCCATCTTTGAAAAACATGCATTAACCCTTAGAGGCTTAATACTCATTGGACCAGGCAGTCCAGACTTTTGATTTGTTAAGTGAGCTGATTAAAATGGCACACACAGACGACCTGGTTTCTGAGTATAAATCAGGCTGATTTATACTCAGAAATACCCTATAACCTGTCTGGGTATTTCACCTACACTGGTTGTAACAGGTGGATATTTCATTCACTGTTACCTTTATATCATCTCAAACAAGGCTACTGATTCTCCTTTAAAGTGAAGAACTTATTTTCAGCCTCACAGCTTCTCTGTTCAGATATTTCCCTTTTTTCAGGACATTGTATGTGAATCTTAGAAAACCATAAAAAAAAAAAAAACAGTAGATTGGTACTGTCTAAAACACACGGTACACCAAAAACTGTAATGTTCAAAGTTATTGAAATCTCTTTTTTCACCATTCTGGTACTCAGTTTAAACTTCAGTTGTCTTAAACAAAGAAAGTTGTAACCATATGTTTGCCTGATTTGGTTTTTGTGCTTGGCAAGCAGCTCAACAGCTGCACATAATTAAGTGGTCATGATTGTGGCTAAAAAGTTGTTTTGTTATAGAAAAGATCAAATTTGTTATATGTCATCTAAAAGGATCAGTTTTTAGCCACTCGTGGCATCAAACTAGTAATCTCTTGTCAAAACTATACCCTTACATGTATCACTTTTGGATAAAAAAACAGCCAGACAATAATCTTTTGGGAGATTTTATTAAATTTTGCCCTAACTGTTGGTAAATATGATTTAGATTATTTTTCCTTTATTATATTTTACATGATTTGACATTAGCCACATTATTTATAATCTGGAAACTCCTTTTATCCCTTTATTCCAATCTGTTTTCTGAAAATGAAATCAGTCAGCAGAGCTCTATTACAGTACAGTATGTTCTTAAAAAAATGTCTGCCATGCTTTTTGAAAATGTATGTCTCTCACACTAGATGAACATCTAACCCCCCCCCCCCCCCCCCCCCCCCCCCCCCCCCGGTAATTGTAATACCATTCCCCCCGTTAGACCACCATTTCTCATATCTTTTCCTGAGCAGGTTAATGCAACCCCCCTGCTAGAAAATTGCCATGTGTCTTAGCATGGTGTACACCCTTTTGAGTTGGCCCAGATAGATTGGCAAGACAAACAGCCAATGAATCACAGTGAGAGATGTGGGAATTGAGCGGGGGGAGGGGGGTATATCAACTCTGCTGGTGGCTAGAGCCCAAGCAGCTTAGAACACCGAATGAACATAGTGAGATCAGCAAAGAACAGCCCAGATAAGCTCTGTACTGGCCCACACCACACAGAAAATAACAGAGCAGAGGCACAAACACACCAGAAGAGTCAACAACAGCAGCATATAGAGCAAAAGACATCACATGATGGGTTATTTGTCAACCAGCCAACAGCCAAGGTCAAGAGCCATACACACTTCTGTGATGGATGGTTAAACTTGAAGAGTGGGCAGTAAAACACAGAGAAATCTGACATATATAGCCCTGTGCAAACATTTTAAATGAATCCTGAGGCATTATTTGGTTCTTAAGAGTTAGATTTTAATGCATCCTTTTAAATATATCTTTATCAATATTTTTACATTTCTGAAGGTGCTCAATATTTTGTGCGTTGAATTAGTCAACATTTTGTCGACAGAGAAAGAATATTTAAAAGTTGTTTTTTAACTTAGCAACGAAAAG